GGAGTACATGGTACTCCTTCCTATAACAAGTATAACAATCATCTAATTAAAATTATTTGTGTAAAATTGATACTGAAATTAGTATAAATTTTTAAATTTCTCCATGTAAATTAAAGACTAAAAAATGTAGTTATTAATAAATGGGAGAAAGCTTTCGTTAAGGACTAAGAAGAGAAGCTTCTTCCCTCTCCTTTCCATTTTTTATCTTTTGTAACCAAATAAAAGGATTTTTCTTCCTTTTCCTCTCTTTGTTTTCCTTAAATCAAATATATTTCAAGTTCACATTAGAAGTACTATGGTTAGGATTAATATGTACCGTTGTGTGGCAATTGTGGTTGTATATTTTTTTTCACCTGCATAAAATTCTTGTTAAATATTTTTATTTGATTAAAAAAATGTTCAATTATTTTTATATAATATGTTAAATTTTTATATGGAATTCATATTTTAAAACTTAAAAAATCAAATTAAATTTACTAAAAATAAACAAATGTAGTATTTTCTACTGTTGTAAATATATAAAATATTACTTAAAATTATTATAAATATATAAAATATTCATTAAAATCAATTAATTATAATATATTTAGATTTTTAAAGAAGATGTGCCGGAAAAGCGTAGTGTACAACATGAAGTTTTTTTATTTAGTAATCTTACTTTTGATTTTTAAACCTTAAACGCTCTTGTTTTAAACCATTATCAGTGTAGTCTGCTATATTGATAAATGAGAGAAAACTTTTGTCAAAAATAAATGTAATATTTTAATATGAGTAAGTTGTTTTATAGTTTAAACTATGTTTACTGAAAAATAAGGGCTTTGGAAAGGAGGAGTTTTCAATATCAAATAATCCACATTTTATTTTGGGGTTCATATTTTACAATTTAATACAATTTAAAATATAAAATAATTTATTATTTTAACATTTAATTTTTGTTTTTTAAACTTATTTTTAAAATGCCTCTATAATTGTCCAATCTCAAACTCAAAAATGGGATATCCAAAAAAAAAAAAAAATTAACATTTTTGTATATTTCAACTTATATATTTGTCATTTGGTTTTAATTTATAAGCATGATGAGATAAATAACTCTAACATTTGAACCTATTTATAAATATGTATTGTCCTAAAAGTATTTAAGAAAGTAATGGTGTTTTTTTTTTCTTTTTTTGTGTGGGGGGAAATGACAATTCATTAATAAAATCTGTTTATATGATTAATAAAGTCTACAAAAGTCAAGTGACAAATTCTTAACTAACAGTAACACTCAAAGTACAATATGGACTATACTCTTCCAGCGAATTATTGTCCCACCCCAATGACGGATCATCATTTTGGTTATTGAGACAAGTGCCAATATAACAAGTAATATATCTACTTAGATACTAAGGCATGCAGTATCATCCTATTCAACTCTAGAACAGATCTGACGGCTCGAAAAACTCTTATAAAGCTAAAATTAGGGAGAAATTATTAACCTAATAACCTTGCTTATTGGGTCTCCCAATCTCACTTTGCAAAGCAAACCTAGTTAGAATATAGAGGATAGAAGAATTATTAACCTATTAGCACGACCTATGGGGTCTCTTCGCCACAACTAGCATTAAAAAACCAGAACTAAATTGATAAACTAGAATCAACTGAACAGATAAGTAAAAATGGGCTAAACTAGATGCCCTACTAAATTTGGGGGCCTTATGCTATAGTTCCCCATTTTTCATCTTCAATGTCAAGCCATGCTCCTGTCCCTCGTTGCCTCTTGTGGCCTACCATTCTCCATCAAAAAAGCACTACCACCATCCTCACAGGCGTGGTTGCTTTCCTCCTTCACTCGGCGACCCTCCTACTATTCCGCACATGGACCTAATACCATTCTCACAGCTTTTGGGGCTCTTAAGCCTTGCCATTCGCAACAACAACCACAATCCACGAACATAGTAAAGATAGGGAAAAGATTGACCAAAAGGAAAAGAAGAGAACGATGCAACCTCTAGAGACGATGTTGAGGAAAAGCAGATGAGAGGAGAAGCACCCCACCTTCGGAGATGGACCTGCATATCAAGACAAGCCACAACTATTTACGAGCAAACTTCCCTCGTTAAACCCCCTAGGGTCAGCGCAGGAGACTTTAAGGCCATGTTTGGTTACAAATTTTCCCAAGAAAAACTGGGAAGCTAAGCCCAAAAAGTTGGCTTGGCTAAACATCTTTCAAAAATCCAAACTCTGCTTGTAATCATTATTTTTGTTTGATAATTGGTTATAAGGCCTCTTTTTACTCACCTTTTGTGAAGGTAACTTAATGGAGGGTTTTTGTCGTAAAAACACTTTCAAGTAAACGTAATCAATTACTTTCCATTATAGCCGGTTACAATATAGCCCAAATTATGCGCGAAGCCAACCAAAATTTGTCCAGCTTGCTAGGAATGTTTTTCCAATAAA